GGAAGGAAGTAATGCGTGTAACGGCTTCGTCGTTAAAAGGCATGTTTTTCTGGTACGAAATTAGGAAGTTACACGTATTGGTCATTGGGTAATTTCCCCCGCAACCAGGTCTAACATGGTTAAAAGTAAGTCCTTTCAAATGTGACATAGTAACCGAGGCAACTTGTTCGTGTCAGTAGATCTTAGCTCCGGATTGAGAAACCGTTATCGTCAACTAGCTTTTCTGCCTGAACATACATAGAAATGATTTTTTCTTATTTCATTTTTAGCGACTTTCTCCAAAAGGAATTCGAGGTTGATGAATAGTTCAGGAAAGAGGCGACTAAATAAGGGATGTCTTCCGCCACCATAAAATACCAATTGAGTTTTGCACTCTATTCCATCAGAAGTCCACTGTTGAAAATCAATAGCCTATATTATTGTGCTTCTGAATATACTTGCATGTTGTCTTAAGTGATGGTTTGTTGGACTCATATCAGTTTAAAAGACTGATGAGTTAAGCTTTCTTAAGGGTCTTCTAAACATTTTCAGGTCTTTGGCATAGGGCAACGGTGTTAGGGAGACGGAAAAGGGAAAATGAGAAATCAGCCTACAAGGGAGATGGCCACCGCACAATCTCTCCTTTTCCCTCTGGGGATTTTGGGCAAACACAAGGAGCCTGACGTGACTTTCAAGCTGCCCAGTTGTCGCAAATATCTTCTTTTATTTTTTATATTTATATTCAGGATTCTCGGAAACCTTGAGGTGCGACGTAACTAGTAGCGGCTTATGGTTCGGGGACGAGCGTCCTACGCACAGAGAGAGACCTACACAATTCTGCGGTTTACATTCATTTATTAGCAAGCAGGTACACTCACAGATTTAGCAATCGACGAGGGCGCAGCTCGTTATCATAGGCTGGCAGCTAGGAGGTCGTGACACGGGTCTGGACACTCGAGAACCGAGGGGACACCAAGGCGAACTCAAGGCTGATCGAGCGTAGAGTGGTGAAACGGCGAGCACTGATGGCTGGGCAGGAACTAGTGTATGTTGTTATCTGCCGATGCAGCGAGAATCTGGTCGGCGAGGATGGCCCTTCGGCAAGCCAGGCAGTGATTTGGGACTGCAGCGGTTGTCAGTGCTTGTCAGTGCGAATGGAGCAGCGACTTGGGCTGCGAGGAGCAGCTCTCGAAGTGCTCGAATGGAGCAGCGACTTGGGCTGCGAGGAGCAGCTCTCGAAGTGCTCG